ACTTTACAGTAATATAGCTTACATCAGAATAACACATAGGTTATAAAGTTCACGCGGATGAAAACGCGGTGTTAAATAAAATTTGTTGAAAAAAGACGTATTTATGCATCAACCTAATATTTACAGATAGTCAAACTCCCACAGATACAAATAAGCCTCTACATTTCACATAGCCATAGAGGCTAATAAACCATAGACACGCAATGCGGTTCGTGTACGTACTTCCGAGTAACTTCCCGGGTAATTAGCTGGCCACAGTGTGCTTTCTACGACCGTACGGCCGCAAATATCTTTGGTAATACCATTACCATCTGTACAGAAATGCGTGCAATAACGTCTGATGCCTCCGTAGTCTTATCTATGGACATTTAATACCTATGTATATATATAAAAATGAATTGCTGTTCGTTAGTTTCGGACATTTAATACTTATATTAGGGGCAGTCAAGGAAAGTTGTATATATATAAAAATATTTTCTCATACGAATGTTCGTACCTGTCAAACAGGGTCGTTAGTTTCGCTAAATTCACAGTTCGAGAAATACTGAACAAAAATACTGAACAGATTTGGCTTATTTTAGTTTTGAAATATTCGGATAAGTCCCAGTTTAAATGATGGTAAAATATGAATAAATTGTTCATACAAACTGCTCGTACCTGTCAAACAGGGTTCGTTCAGAAATTTATTGCTTTACTAAATCTATCTATCTATATATATTGTTACGTCATTTAAAAATCACGTGAGTGATCGTACTAGATGAACAAAGGTACAAACAATACAATTGCAATAAAATGTAACAGCACCACTTCAAAGTGATTCAAACTCCATCGAGATCAAAGTGTTTGCAGCGTTGTAGCCCATATTATCGTTTATAACCAATAAACATGCTAGACAAGTGCAGCCTATCGTAACATTCTTTTGAAACAATTGGCAGACATTATGTTTACTGGCCAGCCTTTGGGAAATTTCGTCAAGTCTTCTCGTTATCGCCTCATTAAAACAAAGGTATATAACCATTTCTACCTGATACGACTGGTCTACCTACTCAAAGTCGATCAACGAGCTATGGAAAGATCTATGCTTGGAATTTCGCTGAGAGCTCAAAACCGAAATGAAATAATTCGCTAGAATTACTAGAAACGGGACCAAAACGTAGACACTTTGATAAGACTGGTCCACCAACTTAAAGTCGCTCAACGAAATATGGAAAGAGCTATTGGAGTTTCTCTGAGAGGCCAATTCTGAAACGAAATAATTCGCCAGTGAACTAAGGTTTTCGAATTTGCAAGTTGAAGTGGCAGCAAGGTCATACCAGTACATCCTACCCGTTATGACTTACGGAGCCAAAACGAGTACACTGACGATACGACTAGTCCAACAACTTAAAATCGCTCAACGAGCTATGCTTAGAGTTTCTCTAAGGGATCAAATACGAAATGAAGTAATTTAGCCAGAGAACTAAGGTTGACTTAGCTCTTCGAATTTGCAATTGAAGTGACAGTAGGAAAATCATACCAGTACATCCTAGTCGTTATGCTTTACGGAGCAAAAACGTGGATTTTGACGATACGACTGGGTCCACCTACTCACAGTCGCTCAAACGCTTCAAGCTCACGCTAAAGATCAATCCTTGGAGTTTCTCTGAAGGATCAAATCCGAAACGACGTAATTTCGCCAGAGAACTAAGGTTACTGACTTAGCTCTTCGAATTTGCAAGTTGAAATGGCAGTGGGCTGGTCATATTAATCGCAGAATCGATGCTCGCTGGAGTTAATGTGTTCTAGAGTGGAAACCGCGAATTGACAAACGTAGTGTCCGTATGTCGTCGCACCACCTAGCTGCGGGCGTCCTGCCCGCAGCTAGGTGGTGCGTAAAGATTGGAAGAGAAGGGCTGAAGATTAAGTTCAGTTGCGTATTTTGGAGGGCCTACGTCCAGCAAGGGACTGCATGTCGTGTTGTTGATGATGATGATGATGATGATGTGTTTTTTCTTTTTATTTACTGAGTTTCTGCTTTTGTCATGTGCTTTGTGACAGGGTCACACTGCGACTTATATTGGGTTCCCCCTTTTTTCAAAGTTCGCTACCTAGACCCATCAGGGTAAGAATTGAAGGATGATGTGTTTACTCAGGGAGTTATACTAAGCCGCATTTTTAAAAACATTCCGTCACATTCTTGTAAAAATTGAAATTGAAAACTAATTAAAAAAGGTGAATAATAGAGAGAAAAGTTATATGTTAATTATAGTGTTTTGTGTGTGCCATCTCCCTCTTCTGTGTACGGTAGTCCTATCTTGCAGGTTGTCTGTAAGAAATTGCTTATAGCGATAAAACCGCCTTTTGTTCATGATTTTCTAATTATTGTTTTATTTTTCTTATTGTATTTCTTCTATGTGCACAATAAAGAGTTTATTATTATTATTATTATTATTAGGTTAACTACATAGTCCGTAATAATTGTGCACGGGTCCATAAGTGCGTTATTGAGATGGAAAATCTCATATATCTTCAATACAATTTTTTTCATCCACTACACAATTTCAGGACGTATAAAATATGTCGTACATAATTCAAATCAGATCGGAAGTAACGCATGAACTCCATTCCATCGCCCAACTGGCTATTTGACAGCACAACAAATACGATATTTTATGTCAGAACAAACGGTATTTTCATAAAAATAACTATAGGGCCATAACCTGCGGTCGTAAATTGTTTATAATGGACTGCGTGCGCGCATACGTTACAGCTACAACGGAGCCACGAAACGAACGGTGTTTAATTAAATTTGTGGAAAAAAATAACAAACTTAAACTTTTATTATTACACGGCTAATTTTGTTTTTTCTTTATTCAAATTTTTGTTAACGATCTCTTTGTGGCAATGTGTGTTCTCGTACAATAATGAAATTCTCTTTTTATGTCAAAGACAATGTGATTATGTTTTTTTTAAAGTATGATGCAACTTATGCAACAGACATTTTTGTGACGGGAGATTTATTACGTTTTTGTTAATGTTGTAACAATGTTTTATTTTGATTTTAACTGTTTTATGCTTTTTAATTCAGGTTATATTGCATTGAGATGGAGATCGTTACATATCTCCATAAACGTAGTCATAAATGTTGATTTTTCGAAACAGTTTCATTTTCTTTGTTTCCTTTATTTGATAAAACACACGAGTCTGTAATAGACCTACATGAATAATATATTGATTGATTTATATTTAACAAAACATTTATATTTAACAAACAAAAAAAAACACTGAAGCCAAAACCATTCTCTCGTAATATGATGATGATGATGATTTATATTTAACAAAAAAATTAATAAATTTTCAATTAATACAAATTGTAATATAAAATAGAAATAATAATAAAAAAGAAATAATATGAATTACGTAACTGTCCATAAAGTTACCAGTTTCTCAAAATATCTAGAAATAGAAATAATCTTTATACAAATAAACTCATTACAAGCACTTTTGAATATTTTGATTCTACAAATTCTATCTTTATATTATAGTAAAGTAATTCAAGATGACGATGATGCCAAGAAATTATTCTGCAGTTTGGCGAGTCATTGTATAAAAATAAAGTAGATTTACCTTTATTAAATCAATAAATAATAAAAAAAAGATACAATTCAAAATTTAATACAGATCTAAATGATCTGACTTCAAATCAAATCATTGCAGACATTGTTTAAATGTATATTTCCGACTAACTCTCTGGCGATGGAAACACCGTGAATATTAACATATGTATGTAATGAAATAATAAACAATGATCATTCGCACGCCTATTTCGTGGCCCAAAATCGATACTAGGTTCAATCGATATATCTGTGTACGATTTATGGGCGATAAATTCGCTTTACAATAAAACTACACGATTGTCGGTATGCCGCAACTCTGCTTGCAACACTCAATTCTCCGAGAAGAGTAGTAGGTGTATAGGCATAAAAAGTGTGGCTATTCAAGGTATTCAAGGGAGAATTTGAAATAAGATCGTAGGAGTTCTAGCTCTAGTGTTGCCAGATGCTGATCTTCCATTTGCCCTAAATGTTGTACTTGGAGTAACGTCTGCATTAGTAGCCAGGTACAAAACACTATCGATGACGTCCATATAGTAGAAATATTTATAATCATGTTTATTATTTTACGGTCTCCGTAATCTAGCGATTAACACACCGCTCCACTTCTTCCTATGGTCGCGGATTCGATTCCTTGTCCTGTGCGATTTGTATTCATTAATATGATTGTTTATATCGGTAGTCTAGCTGTTTTTCATGTATGTTATGGATGTATTTACAAAATAATATATCTAAGTAATTGACAGTGGTCTAGTACCAATAACACATGGTCTGATTAGCTTGAGAATAGATGGCGCTTTGTGAATTGTCCAGCGGGATAATCATGTAGCTTTATTTTTATAGCATTAGGCCCGTGAACACCCGCAAAACTAGGAGAATTCCCACCTGTTCTTTTGATAGACATAAGATGTTTTTTTGAAGGTTTTAATATCGTATATTTTATTAAAGGTTTCCATATCACGTCTGTTTGGAAACACCGATTGTACTGAGTTAACTAATAAGCTGTGCTACGTTGTCGGTCTCAGACCGTCGTTCGGGAATAAACTGTTTTCTTCACCCCAAACTATCGGATCGCCGTTTGCACAAAAAAAAAAACACCATTGCTGGAAGGTGATTTCATAATGTGGTTGTGCATGGCAAAACGTTTTTGGATAAACGCACAGTGGACCACCATCATCCATCATCATCTTCCTGACGATCAGAATGGTATTTTAGTTTCTAGTAGTGAAATTCAGCAGCTGGTATAAATCCGAACAATTCCTCAGAACGCTCTCCGTATATGCGGTAGAGAATGTACTGAGATGCAATATCTCGCCGTAAAGCTTATGGGTCTGTCACAAAGACGTTGATTACCAATGATTCTGGTTGTTATATTTCATTTATTATTAAGATATTAGTATGATAACATCACTGCTGCTTATTGTTAACTATACCTAACCAAGTCGAGGGGCACGTGTCCTTGAAGGCAGGGCTGGAGTGGGCCAGATGCACGTCCAATAGCTCTGCTATGGGCAGCAGGCGGGAGGCCAGGTCTTTCAGCATATCTACCACTTGTGGGCCCACGTTCTGAGGCTTGGTAGTGAGTACATCGATGGTTCTGGACCTTATTGCGAAGTTTATAGTGTTTCTGAGGTGGTACTGAAAGAGAATCATTATTTTACTATTTATTTATTGAGGTATATTCCCAGTTGCCAAGCTTGCTTTATGGCAAAGTAACTTAGCTACGAAGTAGTATTACGGCGTGAATAATATAATAATAATAATAATAATCTCAGGACAATTTACACAACGCCATCTAGACCCAAGTTAAGCTAGCTAAAGCTTGTTCAAATTAAAATTCAAATTCAATTCAAATTCAAAAATCATTTATTCATGTAGGACATTTTAGCCGCTTATGAACGTCAAATTTTTACATTATAATTTTATTTTTTTCCCTACCGTCCAGTTCGGTATATAGATCCAATAGAGAAGAACTGGCAAGAAACTCAATTGAATTACTTTTTTTTTAAAGCCAGTTTATTTACAATGTATATTTATATAGGTGTCTATGTCTAACATTAAATGAAAATTCAGTGCATGAACAACTATTGCCATGCACACTCGTCATTCAAGTAATCGTTTAGTGAGTAATAGGCTTTGCTCAGTAAATATGATTTAACAGATGTTTTGAATTTATTTAAGGGTAATTCCAACATATCCTTTGGTATCTTATTGTAAATTTTTATACCTATTCCCATAAAAGACCTATTAACTTTTTCTAAACGATACTTGGGGACAGCAAGTTTGTCTTTAAATCTTGTATTAATATTATGAATATTGCTGTTTTTTGGAAATAAGTCAAGATTTTTATGAACATATAGGATATTTGAATATATAAATTGAGAAGCAACGGTGAGAATATTTGCCTCTTTGAATTTCTCTCTTAATGAGTCACGACTCTTCATACAGTAGATCCCTCGAACGGCACGTTTTTGTAATATGAATATATTTTTAATATCTGCTTTTCCCCATAGTAATATTCCATAAGAGAGTAAACTATGAAAATAACTAAAATAGACCAATCTAGCAGTATCAGTATCAGTGTACTGTCTAACCTTACGCACGGCAAAAGCTGCTGAACTTAGTTTCGCTGCAAGGCTTTGAATTTGTGCACCCCATTGTGTTTTATTATCTAGTGTGATTCCTAGAAAGACAGTAGATTCTATAAATTTGAGAGATTCATCATTTAATTTAATGTTGCAATTAGTATTAAAACTTTTAGACAGAGAGAAATTAACACATTTTGTTTTTTTAGCGTTTAACATAAGATTGTTAGTTGTAAACCAGTGCAGGAGACGCCGCAAAGCACTATTTACATCGTCATAATTATTAGTCATTCTATTAACTTTAAAAATCAATGAAGTATCGTCTGCAAATAATACTATGCCGCATCTATCCTGCGTTATATGTACTAGATAACTGATACAAATACATAGATATATTTTTTCGTAAATACATACATAATATACATAGAAAACACCCAGAATAATGCAAACAATCATACTACAAACATCATGAATACAAATGTTTATGTCGTTCGAGGAATCAAACCCGCAACCATTGGACGTAAAGGTGTTCTAGATCGCTAGACCACCCAGATCGTCAATATGAAATCTCTAATAATATGCCGGAACAATTTATACAACGCAATCTAGTTCCTAGCTAAGCAGAGCTTGTGTTATGGGTATTAGAGAACAGATAGATATACAGATACTTTTTAGATATTTTTTTATATAAATTTATACTTAACTATCTACTCGCTCCGGCTTCGCAGGGGTGTACATGTATCATATATGTAAACCTTCCTCTTGAATCACTCTGTCTATTAAAAAAACGGCTTCAAAATCCGTTGCGTAGTTTTAAAGATTTAAGCATACATCGGGACGGACAGACAGCGACAGCGACTATATAATGATATACATAAAAACTATCCAAATCAATACAAACGATTCCAATGGTCGCGGGTTCGACTCCTCGCACAGCACAAACATTTGTATTTATAAGTATAATAGAAAAATATTATAAAAAAAATTACATACAGTTTTCAAGTTTGGGACTAGATGGCGCTGTGTAAGTTGACTTGGGTCATTATTATATTATAGATGTATTCACTGTCTCATTTTATTTGGTAGTTTCATAAAAGAGCGCAAGGCTTACAGCATTTAGGGGCCAGTCCTAGTTAGCAAATTTTTCGCAATATTGTAAATTATAAAACTTTAGATTTAAGCTAATAAAGCAAGTTATAAAGCTTGCTTAAATTCGATTCGTGCTTCACCGATTCATACTATATTACATATCTTATATTCTGGTAAGTGGCAACAGTAATAAAAGAAAGTAAATCATAAAATATCGAAGATAGACCCATCCCGGTTGTTGGATATTCCCGCGGGGACCTTATAATATTTCAACATAAAATATAGACTGTAATAAACTGCAGTAGATTAGCTTTATTACAGAACAGATTTCTTCTTCAGCTTCACTCGTTTTATGATTATTTTTAATAAGTCCTTATCGACATTTTAATGTAATTTAATTGATCTGTTAATATATAATGATCTCGGTCGTTTTGCGGTTCAGCATACTGCTGTCGCCGATTTCTCGAACGGTACAAACATTTTGTATTCTTGAGTATGATTGTTTGTGTTGGTTTGAGTGTTTTCTATGTATATTATGTATTATATATATATGTTTCCTATGTATTTATCAGTTGTTTAGTACCTATAATATAAGCTCTGCCTAACTTGGGACTAGACGGTATGACTTATTCTGCTTTTAGTTTGTTTCGTTCTTTTATACCCTGAATTAAAATATTTTATTATTTGTTAATTATATTTTGCACTAATTACCCACTCCATACCATTGAATGGAAAAATATTGGAATCTCTTTTAAGAACTTATCCCTAGAAGAGAGTTTAATATTTTTCAAGGTGAACTGGTTTGCTCAAATTATCTCTAAATTGTTTTATCACTGCAATATATAATTGAAAAACATAGCACCTTATGCACTAGATATTCAACCTCAATTTGTATTATAGTGCGTTATATAGAAAGTTTTTCATAGTATATCTATAATTTTATGGGTAGAAATAAACGACAGTTACCTGTACAAGTAAAGCCACGCCAAGATGCACTGGTTTAACCTTTAAAGCCTTTAGTTTCCGAACCAACAGTCGTGGAGTTAGATCATCAAATTTACCGAGTTGAGCTAGAATTCTTGGTGTCTGAAGTAAAAAATACGATAATGTAAATCTTTAAGTTATTTAATAGGTGGCGGCGAATCAAGGGTACAGGTACCAAAAAATAATACAGTTTCTCTTATCTTTACTTTGTTTATCTGTCCAAATATAGTATGGAAATTATTTTATGTATTTAGTGCAATAAAGTGTATAAATAATTAAATTCTGATAGTGAACCTATATTTTTTTTAAGGTCATTAAAATATCTAAGTAAATGTCATCTAACCTCTTCAGTACACCACAATATTTTAAAATTACATCATCTGGATAGTTGTTTTTAAATTGTCATTGACTTTATTACAATAATTTAAATTATAACTTTAACATTTGAACATTATTAAGATCTATAACTAACCAATCCAGTCAAAGACTATAACTTCTATACGTGTGTGTGTCACATACATAGTAATTATGTGTAATATTTTTTTATTGATTTAATGCACAATTTTAATAAAATGTAAGTATTCTGCATTCCTTCTTTATATAAAATATAAGTGTGCGTTTCATATTCCTTCGACTGCACAAATTATTTTTGATCTATACATATAAATAAAATTGGAGTGTCTGTTTGTAATATTGAAATAACCGTTTTTTACTGCATGCATATGAATATAAATACGCAACATACACCAAAAATCCACTTATTAAAATTTTTGCCTGCCTGTCTGTTCTGTTATTTTAGAAAAATAAAGTATAATTCCACGCGGACGAAGTCGCAGGTACAGCTAGTGTATTAATATAATGATTGTACATATAAAAAAAATAACATTCTGCATTTCTTCTCTAAATAAACTTTATGTGTTCTCATATTCTTCCTTTCGCATATTATTAGTACAAAGGGGTACAAAGATTTTCTTTAACGTATTATGCATTATGCATAATTAAAAAAAATTGTTTTATGCACTCCTTCTCTATATAAACTATAATTATGCGAAATTTCATACTCCTTCATCTGCGGAATTTTCATAAAAAGTGGCACAAAGATTTTTCTTCACGTTATGCATAATTTAAAAAAAAAGTAGCTTCCTGCATTTCTATATAAATTTTATGTGTGCCAAATTTCTCTATCATTTTTCATTAAAATAATGATACTGTCGGCAGTACTTACAGTGAACATGATATCATAGAGTCTGGCGCATGCGTGGAATACTTGCACGTCGGCCATTTGGTCGTGCATGTCCCGACTTTCGACCGACATGTAATACCGATGAGCTAGGTCGATGCGACTGGCTGCACTTGTATTACGAGGAAGGTCCTGAAAGAATACAGTAAATATCATTACTAGAACATTCAGGACTCTACTACTCTGCAAATTTACTACAATTATTTTTTTTCTTTAATTATTAGTAATATCCCTATTCTCCTATCCCTATCCCTATTATTAGTAATATCCATAATAGTTAAAGCACTTTTTTTAAATATTAATCATATTCTTCGACAATTTATACATCGCCATCTAGTCTCATGCTAGCAGTGCTTGTGTTGTGGTCCTAGACAACTAATAACTTAAATATGTTTTTCAATCGTTCATAATTTACCTAAGAGTAGGGAAAGAGGATTCATAATGATGTGGACTCTTGACCCAATTGCTAGCAATAGCAAACTGTTATAAAAATATGTATATGTTTTGTATGTAACACAAGAAAACACTCAGAGCAATACAAACAATCATACACGAGAAAATGATTGTACTGTGCGAGGACTCGAACACGCAACCATCGGAAGTAAGGCAGTGTGCTAAACCGCTAGACCACCGAGGTTGTCTTAAATATCATTACCTAACATTTCAAACACTAAAATTCAAATTCAATTACAACATTTGTTTGCTATTTATTATTTTATTTTACTTGATATAGCGTTGTTTAAGAGGTGTAGCTTTAGCGTTCAATTTACATGTTTTCATTGTATCTATTTTAATATTACTCTATATTTTTATATAAATAATATAGTCCCGTACAATATGAGTCCATATTACATAGTTGTAATTAAACTAAACAATTGTACTCATGAGTACAAATTTTTGTACCGTGCAAGAAATCGAATCCACAACCATCAGAAGTAAGGTGGTAGGCTATACCGTTAGACAAGCGAGGTCATCAAAACCGTTATTTGAATTTGTATTGCGATTAATTAAAATAATCGACTTACCTTTGCAATGTCTATCAACTTCATAATGAGGGAGGAGTATATACGCCGGCTGATGGCATCTGTGCGTCTAGACCTATAGTTGTCCACCTCCCTGTACATGAAATATTACATATATCTGAATGAATTAGGTATTATTTTGAGGAAGTCCATTTCACTACTTAATGGATTATTTTACCCTAATTCCGCTACAATATTGTAGTGGAATAAAAAAAAAATATATAAATCCATTAAGTAATAGGTTTAGTTAACAAAGATTAACGTTCCGCACCAAATACTTTGTTAGAATGTCTTTCTTCCTACCTACCATCCTATTCCTAATTTCACACATTTCAAAGTGGAAGTGTGGGCAGATGACGCTGCTGATTCGCAAGCATAACACAGTGGCGCCCCCAATCAACTGTCTTACGATAATGGCGACAACCGAAAATTTAATACATTAATAAAACTATAATTAAAAATAAATGACATAAGGTTATAATAGAACATTATGGAAGTGAGAATATACAAGGTCAAATGTATCACACTATTTTGTGAAATTTCAGAACATCCTAGGGCTATGTTAAGTCATTCAACATCCCGGGTACATTATTTAGCAATCTATTAATTGCAATTATCGACATTTCCTGACCTCCAAAAATTACGTTAAAGTTTAGATTGACATTTAATTAATGAGAGAGACATAATAATAGTCGAGTTTGCTGTCAGTTCTTCTCGACTGACATCGTAGTCAAAACTGGACGGTAGAGTTAAAAAAATAAGGTTAATGTGGATGGTACCTATTTCCGTATTGATTTATAAAATGGTATGTACAGTAGATAAAAGAAAATATAAAAATCATGATTGATGAAATATAGAAATCGTGATTAAAATGTCCGACATAAACGAATAACTGTTGAATTTGAATTAGAACATCAAGAAAAGGTTTAGAAGTCACTGCAAGGTTATTAGATAATTTGAACATAGAAATAAATTTTATTCAAACAAACTTAAAATGACAATTTTTGAATAGACATGAAACTCTTTCCCAGCGTTAGTGTTTCTTGCCTCTTACAACATGGGGTCTCTCACGTCAAGAGTGAAGGGAACTGTTTGAGGTTACTGTAACAGCTTAGACCGCATCATCACTTAACATCAGTTTCGATTCGGTTCAAACGCACTCGAATTTCGTAATAAAATTCAAAAACTATGCATTTGTTCATGTAGGACTTTGTAGCCGCATATGAACGTCAAATTTACAGATTATAATTTTAATTTTTTCCCTACCGTCCATAAAATAATAAAAATTAACTCTTGAAATATATCATAAGAAAAAGTAATAAAACTTACTGAGTCTTTCATTAATTCACAACTATTGTAAGGGGAATGTAAAATTAAAACAAGATAAAAGAAACTATTTTATATCACCTAGGAGATTTGTCAGATGGCAACACAAAAGCCTGAACAGTCATTTAAGTGGGTAACATTAACGAACTTTTCGTTTTTACTTGAATTACAGACATTTGCGTCTCCATGAAAAGAGAATGTTTTATATAAGAACACTTTAATACGGAGAGTTTACTGAAGAAGTATTATAGGTGAGTTTATAATAATAATAGATTTTCACGATTGTTGTTCCAGATGGAGATTTTTTTTTAATAATAATAATAGTCTCAGGACAATTTACGCAGTGCCATCTATACCCAAGTTAAGCTAGCTAAATCTTGTGTTATAGTTACCAGATAACTGATACAAATACATAGTTTTTTTTTGTAAATACAAAAATATATACATAGAAAATACCCAGACCGATACAAACAATCATACTCATGAATACAAATATTTGTACCGTACGGGGAATCGAACCCACGGTCATTAAAAGGCGGTGTGCTAAACACCTAGATCACTGAGGCCGTTAATGGATGATAATGGAATGGTGCACCCGCCTGCGCTAACGGTAAACCAGTGGAGGATGATAAGATGGGCATGAGGTTAGGTCGAAATACGACTATAATTAATTTTAATTATAAGTCTAAACATTATTAGAGTTTTATTGTCAAAGATTATAATACTATAATCACAGGCACAGATATTAAACAAAAGAGTTTATTTGCGTGCGTATGTTAAATACATGGTAGAGTGTACCTAATGTTTTTGTATTTTTTATACATAATTTTTTAAAAAATATTACCATTCTGCATTTCCTTTCTATACAAACTATAAATGTGTGAAATTTCACACTTCATCCGCGTGATAATATTCGTAAAAAGGGGTACAAAGTTTTTATTTCACGTATTAATGTATATATTTTTAAAACGCCTTTTTGAATGTACTTGAATGTTATGTTTTTATTGAATTATTGTATTTTTTATACATAGTTTTAAAAAAACTCTCTCCTCTATACAAACTATAAATGTGCTAAATTTCATACCTCCTCAATCCGCGAATTTTTGTAAAAAAGGGTACAAAGTTTTTGTTTCACGTATTCATATATATATACATATATTTAACATGCCTTTTAACGATGTATTTGATGACGAGCGACATGGTGCGATTGAGGTATATCTGGTTATCCTTCTTCAGGTCGAATAGCAATTCCTCGTCGAATCTGGTGTCCTGCAACGCTTCTACAATAGCTTTGGCCAGATGCCGGTTCTCTTGGAAATGTTTCTGAGCAAATAAAAGGGTATTTAGGTTAGGTTAAATAAATTATGAACAACTAGGTAACTGACTGATTTTGTTTATTTTAGTTTAGATAAATGATAGTCTTTTATTTATAATAATAAGCTATAGGAGTAAGAGAGAAAGAAACGTAAACAATAATACTTGGGGTTCTTTCATAATACACATGTTTTTTATTTTTTCTTCTTCTAATTGACGGCCTGCGTGGTCTATCGCTTTATTTCCGATGGTCGTGGGTTCGATTCCACGCATGGTATAAATACGAGTATTTATATTCACGAGTTTGATTGTTTGTATTTCTCTGGGTGTTTTCTATGTATTTATTATGTATGTTATGTATGTTTCCAAAAAAAGTATATCTAAGTATTTATATCAGTTGTCTAGTATACATAACATGCGTTTTGTTTAGCTTGGGACTAGATGGCGCTTTGTTAATTGTCCTGAGTTATTATTATTATTAATAATTTACGCAGGAGCATTAAGGGTAGACGTACCTGCTTTGTATCATAGATATATCATAATATATCATAGAGATAGATAGACAAAAAAACTACTGTAATATTAATACCAGTAGCCATTGTAGACAGTTCTTTCAAATGAAGTTTCAACGTCCCCTCATTTTTGCATATCTTTTATTAGACATAAAACTCTTCCATAATTTTATAAAGCGCAATAAAATGGGAATTCGAGTTGTTAACTACAGCACAAGTGCGGCGGACAATAAGTATTTCACATATATCCCATACAAACGGAATGCTGCTTCATTCCGCGCTGATTTTTTTTCCGCTGCACGTCCGCCTCGTTGGGTGTATTCAGAATTGTTCCAAATACACGCTAGGACAATAAAAGCGGTACAAAACAATTACAATCACCTCTTGGACATTAGCGCAGACAGTTTGCAGCAAGAAAACTAAAATGAACATCTCGCGCGCCTCCATTCCCGCTGACAATATTCACTTTAACTGCCTATACACATTTTATTTTTAAAGCCAAACCGTATCTTTGTCGGACACAGGGAATTCTCAACGAATTTGCCGTTTTAAAATTCCGCAGCGGGAATTCGAACCGCAACTGTGGCCCGTTGCCCGCCTTAAAAATGTATTTTAACTGTCACGGTTTTAAAAAGTTTTTAAAGTGATCCCCGGGAAATAAAACGTATGCATTTACATGAAAAAGGCGTAAAACAGTGATACGGGATTATTCTGTGAACAAATAGCTAAATTGTTTTTTTTTCGGCACTCAGTCGGATTGTGGGCGTGATGTTAAAGGATTTGTTACAAAGCTTGTGAAATTATTTCTGGTCTTATTTGGTGTGGATTTATGAGCTGCATAGTACATATGTAACTGATTTATGATTTTTTATTTTTTATTTATTTCTCCTCACAAACATGATGGCGACAATACATGTAGCATTTTTTATAGTAAAATACTTAAATTTATTATTTTAATCGATTTGCTGTGAGGAGCTGGTGTCTGAGATAGCATAACCTGTAATACAAATCACCAGTTGATATAAGTTAAACAAATTATGATGCTTTATTATAATTATATTTATTATACTACATAAATAAATTATAATTATACAACGTTTAGACGAAAAAAATAGTAGGCAAATTAATGTAACTGTAGTTAGACTTTGCATCGTACTTGTGTATTTTACCGAATATACAATGGACTGTGTTTTGAAGAATTGTTCGATATGTCACGACTAACTTTTACCATCACACCGCTCACCATCGATAGGGAATTCATCCCCACACGCTGGAACCTAAGTGGTCTCGGTCAGTGCTGTTTCAGAGGAGCTTTCTCCTGCGTATGATTATATTGTGCAATAAACCACTTCTCGAGGTTTCCTAAAGAGACTATAGCATGTGGTTTTTCATAGTTAATGTTTCTTAAGGGTCCGCTACGCGCACGTGACTCCCCTGGTATTTCAGCTGTCCATAAGCTGCGGTAACCATTTACTATCAGGTGGGCCTTATGCTTGTTTGCTACCATCGTAGTATAAGAATAAACTGTAGTTGTGTAGAATACAGATAAAAAATGTGTCTATATGCTAAGCGGAAGATGTCGCAGTAAGAATACAGTTTATCATCACTTTTATCACTAAGATAATGTAAATGAACATTAGGGGAACAAACTACATGTATATTAGTGTAGGAGAAAGTAAACCGAAAACAAGACTCCTTGCCATAGTGGTAACATTTCTACAGTGTTTCGAGGAGACAATGGGCGAAATACAATAATAAATATTGTACAAGATATAAAAACTCTATTGTATTTATTTTGAAATTGGAATGCGCTTCATATTCATTTGTTTTATGAATAAAAGTATTATTAGAGAGATGTGAAAATACCATCATGGCGTTTCATTTTAAACTATGAATTATAGAAATATAAAGTAAATAAAAAAAAATATCTGAAAAGAATAGAAAAACATATCAATTGCATTGGGAACAAACTACATGTATATTAGTGCAGGAGAAAGTAAACCGAAAATAAGACTCCTTGTAGTTGTAACAGTGTGACAGTATTTCGAGGAGACCATGGGCAAAATATAATAATAAATATTGTAGGAGACATAAAAACTCTTTTGTATTTATTTTGAATTTGAAATGCGCTTCGCATTCATTTGTTTTATGAATAAAAGTATTATTAGAGAGATGTGAAAATACCATCATGGCGTTTCATTTATTTCCAGAATTTCATTATAATAACAATTTCATATCTATTTATAAACACAAAACAGAAAACAGTAAACCGAGTATGTGTTTCGATATAATAATAAATATTGTAGACATAAAAACTCTTTTGTATTTATTTTGAATTTGAAATGCGCTTCGCATTCATTTGTTTTATGAATAAAAGTATTATTAGAGAGATGTGAAAATACCATCATGGCGTTTCATTTATTTTCACAATTTTAAACTATGAATTATACAAATATAAAGTAAACTTATAATATAGTAAGTCCTCGGAGAGAGCCTGGAGATCTGTAGTACAGGTTTCGACTTAGTTCAGACTCCAGACTCTCACAAGGAATAGTTTGTAAGTTTAAATATATACTTTTGTTGCTTTGTTTAATATTGTAAGTTTCCTTGTGAGCAGTAAATAAAGATTATTATTATTATCTATACATATAAATAAAATTGGAGTGTCTGTTTGTAATATTGAAATAACCGTTTTTACTGCATGCATATGAATATACCACAGGAACGTACACCAAAAAAGTTTTTTAAAATTTTTGTCTGTCTGTCTGTCGGTCTGTTTATTCCAGCTAATCTCTGAAATGGCTGGACCGATTTTGACGGGACTTTTATTGTCAGGTAGCTGATGTAATAAGGAGTAACTTAGGCTACTTATATTTAAAAAAAGTTAAATTCCACGCGGACGAAGTCACGGGAACAGCTAGTTATTAATAAAAAAAATATCAGAAAATAATAGAAAAATATATCAATTGCATTGGTATATATTTCTAGAATAACTCTCATCGGCCAAATGCAATATGTCGAGCAGTTTCGCTTGGGTAGTAAAAGAGGTTGCGACACTGCCAGTATTTATTGCCGGAATCTGTGCAGTAAATCTAGGCAACAGGCAATCTCGCTAGGCACAGGTAGAACGGCTACTCAATATTGATAGAGTTTCGAAAATTACACTTACAATTTATATTATTCTTCCCCACATATTAATGTTTGATAGAGATGTTGTATGTTGTAATAATTAATACTAGTGGTCACCGAATGGTCGAAATTCGAGTATAATTGATTTAAATTATAGGTTTCAATATTACAAATTGTTATGACTATTCAAAAGTGCTTAAATTAAGTTTATTTGAATAAATGATTTTCTATTGTCAATATGCACTACTAAACTCACTTTAATTGACGACGAGCGTGCATGGCAATAGTTATTCATGTACGGGATTTTCATTTAATGTTAGACATAGACACCTATATACATTGTAAATAAACTGGCTTTTAAAAAAAAAGTTATTCAATTGAGTTTCTTGCCAGTTCTTGTCAATTGGATCTATATACTAAACTGGACGGTAGGGAAAAATATAATATAAAAAATTTGACGTTCATAAGCGCCTAAAATGTCCTACATGAATAAATGATTTTTTAATTTGTATTTGAATATAATACACTTCTATGCTCCATGGTAGTGTGTGTAATGTTGTTTTTATTACTTTAATATTTTTTTATGGATAGTTTAAAAAAAGTTTTACCATTCTGCACTACTTCTGTAAATAAACTATAATTGTGCGAAATTTCATACGTTTCTGTCTAGGCATTTTTCGTATAAAGAGGTAAAAAGTTTTTGCTTCATCTATTAATGTATAAATAAAATGGATAAATAAGAATAATTACAAACTTGATGTCTCTGTTGCTGACATCGTGGAAGGTACCAGAAGAATCTATAATTGTACAAAAAGAATACAATATCGCCGCTTTGCGTTCGCCGTTCTATTTTCAAAATGATTAATTTTATATCTAAAACATATCTAATGGCTATTTGCGTTGTATCTGTAATCTCAGCCACGGACCAATTACAAAAAAAAGTACATAATTGACTGGATATACAATTAGAATATTTCTTTTCTTGCAATTGGAATACAATAATTAAAAATAAAAAATAAGATAAAAGATCTTGTCAATTGTTAACAGGTTATAGAGCTTTTGCAGGAATATTTCTAAAAAATTAAGATTATTTTATATTTTTCTAAATTATTGTAATTTAAAAAAATAAATGATAAGTTAGTACACACATTTATATTATCGTTCGTCCGATACGGAACGGAACGTTTTCCGCCATGGCGTCCAAACTTATCCGCGGGATCTCCGAATGAGAAGCGATTCAATTTCCGCGCCAGTTTTCCGCGGAATCGCTTTTAGGCAGCGGATACACCGTCGTAAAGCGCTCGATCGCTGCGACTGGCCATTTCGGCGGCCAACCCTGATGGAATATCATATTTTGTTATATTATTTATTAGAAGATTTATACTTTCTTATACTCTATAGAAACAGCGCGATTGACGATCACATGGTTATTTTTTTTTTATAATTTTACGTTTTTGGAGACCTATTAAAATTAAATATAAAAAACGCAAAATATTTTATTGGTAGATAGGTAACTTTTATTCATAGTAACAGGTAACGGCATCTCTTCGAGTTTTGATATATCCATATGCAATAACAATAATTCCAGCACCTATGTAAAAAAATACGAAAATGACCTTCTTTGAAAAACGTTTTCACTTTACAAATTACGTATTTTTTCAATATTTTTCCATCTTGTGAAGTGGCCTTTTTTATCACGACACCTATTTAAAAGACGTTTCTATTTTGCAAATTGCCTAATTTTTCAAGAAATTTCCATATTGTGTAATTGTGTTTTTTATCAAGACATCTATAGAGATAAACTTAAAAAATATAAATCTTATATAAAATTTGAATCCAATGGTTAGAACGTTTCCCGAAATATACAAGAATTATTATACACATGAAGTCAAAATAAATCTTAAATTGCGAGCAATATGTTAAAAGTACGAAAATGACAGTTGGCGAAAAAAAATACTGAAACGTCAGTATGTTTATACTAATGTACACGTCAATGCTTTTTCTGTGTCGTTTTAAATAATTACAGTCAATAAATATTTAGTAAACATAACTTAATCACGTAAACATATGCGGCCATATCTCAAACGCGGCGGCTGTCAAATGTTCTTTTTTTTTAATTTATTTAGGAGCTTGGGATCACAATAGTGAACATCTTAGCTCCGTGTTGGCTTCGCAATCAGTTATACACTTAAATATTTATATTATATATAAATTTAAATTTGCTGTAAAACAAATATTACATATATTATTTATATTATTAACCGGACTAACACGAACTAATTTTATGCCAATTAAAGGTACCTTACCTCTCTCGACGTTTCGACTAGGTTGCACTAGCCGTGGTCACGAGTTGACTCTTAGTTCGTGTTAAGACCCGGTTAATAATATAAATAATGTGTATTAAACACGAAAGTAAAAATAAATATATAACCTTTTATCTACAAATTTATAAATTAGTACAGATTGTTTCGATACAAGTTCTGATAAAATACTCCGAAAAAATCCTAGATTAGTTTTGTTTAAATTTATAGCTGTCAAATCTTGATGTACAGATTATTAGTGTTAAAAAATACAAAATGCCATTACGACGTTGTGGCAGCGTGTATAAACTACGATATGCCATTCAATGCTGTCTTCTTATGTCATTTTAAACAGTAACTAGTTGGTAAACATTGCAACCGGCCATATTTCAAAGCACGTCGCCTGTTAAACGTTGGCATACAGATGTGTATGCAATGTATTTCAGTCGTATTTTAGTCACCAAATTGTGAATATCGGCCACTGCAGAGACGTAGACGGCTCAGAGTCGATATACTATGTATAGTATTGTCTTGGTCAGAGATGCAGAAACTATCATCGGAAATAGATGATATTATGTTATCTGTGGTAATATTAAAAGAATATAAAAAAAAAAACATAACGAGTAGCTGTAATAATTGAGTTTGACTATATTTAATCGAATTATTTGTTATTTTGCGGAAGTCCATTTCACTACTTGATGAATTTATATTATTTTGCTTAATTTATTAATTTAATTAATTAAACAAAAATAATTAATTAGTTTGAATATAAACTAAATGATCAGAATTCCAAGAATTATTCACAGATTCGGACCAATTGCGGTGCGCCTTAACGAAACTCGATGTCGTTATGATCTGTGCATTGCTTTGGAAATTATATTTACTTGATTAATAACATTACGAATTTAATAAGTACTTTAATTACCACCAATTTCTGCTTATACAATTGGCTTCAAAAATATGTAAATTCAAAGAGTGGACACCTATGGGAAAAAGATAAATTTTCAATAATATTACACTAATAATGACTGCGTTATTTTTTTTTATGTTTTATCGCATTATTACTTGTTATACTGTAATTATTTATTTATAAAAAAACATTATAAAAAGAGCCACAAGTTTCTTGACGTTCTTCTTGTGATGAATCTGCATTCCGAATGAGTGGTAGAATCAAAATATGACTATTCAAAAGTGCTTGTAATGAGTTTATTTGAATAAAGATTATTTCTATTTCTATTAAAGATTATTTTTATTTATCGCAGTGTACTGTGTAGGTTTTTAAAAATTATTCCCTTTGACGAGGAAACTGCTTATGTAGCGCGGTAGTTATCACCTAACCATTGCAGCGTAATGTATGATGTGATGAGGTGTCGCTACATAATAAATAGTTTATTGTAGTATAATATATAGGTAGCGATCCGGTGAAATAACTGTACTAGTTAGATATTGACCAGATTAGTTTGGCAGCGTTCGGGAAGCTCCGATATATATTTTCGTCTAAATTTCCGCAGTGTCGCCAAGACGAAGGTCTACGCCCAATGTTTATATGTTACCAGTCTGACTTACGCAGAGACGTGGTCGCTAACTATGGACCCATGAACAAGCTCAAAGTCACTTCTTCGGGGGCAATATCGGTTATGCTCTGGTTCTTCTGCGGATCGAATCAGAAATGAGATCCGCAGAAGAACCAGAGTGACCGACATAGCCCGAAGAATTGCGACTCTGAAGCTGGCAATGGGCAGCCACATAGCACGTAGGAGAGATAACGTCTCTGTGCCGTAAGTGACCACTGGCAACACACAGAGTGGGAAGACCTCGTAAACCTTCGATCTTGAAGATCTGCTGGAAGGCATTTGGATAGGTAGTGAGTATCGTCGGGAGATGAAATAATCCAGCTGTGGACGTCTTCCGTTATTGAGATGATGATGATGAAGTTTATTAGAAACGCGGAGTCGGGATTTAGACATTTACATTGAACATAAATCTATGTCAGTGGAGACGTAAACTAATGGAATGGTCTCAAGTGTTCTCAGAAATATTATAAGTACTACACTTATAATACATTTGTATTCTTTCTACATTTTTATTAATATATTTAGCAACTTCCTCGCCTTTCCAAAATTCTCATGTCCAGCAAAGTTCTCTATTGCGGGTTGCTCTTTATTCGACATAGTCTTCTCTTCTTCTCTAGCAACCATCCCTTGCTTCCTGTTTAAATCTCTCGCTCTCTCTCGCTTTTAAGACTATCCTTTAACTCTAATAGCACAAATATATATAATAATATGCTCATCTTATCGTCCTGCTGATGCCCCGCCAGCGTAAACCGTTAGTGCAGGCGGGTGCAACATTCATATAAAAAAAATATTCATTCTAACGATTAGACGGACGGAATGACGGTAAGTTTATACTGTTATAAAATACGAAGCTAGAAATTCCAAGCAAGAAACTGATGTTTATTTATAGAAGCGAATGTCAAAATGTCAAGTTGTTTAAAATGCGCACTCTTTTTATGATAAACGAGACGGTTTATGCGGTTTTTTCAGATATACGAAGGGAAATGTAGTGTTCGGTCTAGGAATAATGTGTGTATTGGGTATTATTAGGGTTCCCAACCATTCATTATAACAACGAATCCTACTTTATTTCAGATAATTATATTTTATACTTTTACATACAAATAAAGTATTCAAAAATACTTTATTTTCAAGCTTTACTGTGATGCGTAAAACAAAATACTCATCATGAATACTTAATGATTTTTTTTTCTTCTTTATGGCTTGGCACGTCTGCGCATTTGCCAATATACAAAATTTGGGAAACAACTTAACGATTTATACTGAACGAAATGTTAGATGTCAGTTGTGAGTATATATATTTTAATTTGTGTTACATTTGTAGTATTATATTACTATACATATTATTATATAACTAGTATTTACATAACCTAATTGTAGACTTTTCAAAGAAATAACGAAAAGGTTAGTCGACATCACAGAAGACCGAAGAGCTGGCAGCTACCTTGGACAAAGAATTAGTCTAGCTATTCAAAGACGAACGTTGTAAAGGGACCACTTTTAATAATATATTTTAGTTATCATATTCTATTTTATTTTTTTTAAGCTTTTTATTTTAGTTCTTAGTTGTGAGTTTGACATTTGTCACAGCTCATATCGACGACAAAAAATGATATTGATTTTGTTTATAATTGAAGATTACAAATGAATTGTTTATTTATTTAAATTTAAATGTTAATTGTTAATTGTGAAACTTTGCAATATTTAAAGATAAGAAAAAATTGTTAGTTTGTGTTAAAAGCACACAAAAATAAGTTTTTAAAGCAATAAAATTTGAAAAATACTTTTATTTTCCTAATACTTTATTTTTTTCCTATCCAAACCAGTATATACGTTTTTTTTTTAAAAGTTGGCAACCCTAGGTATTACAAACATACATATAGTCATATTATATTGTTGTAAATCTATATGTAAAATATTATTTATTATAATGTAACTATTCTACACGTTACATGAGATATTTTCTGGTGATTTGTACTTTCTGGTAGTATTTGTATTGACTTGTATACAATATAATAACTGGAGAAGAATGAAATACAGTTTTTAGTGTTAATAATTAGAATTTATTTTTTCATCCATTTCATCCTTTAGTTATACATTGTAAAAAAAATCTGCTATATTGGGCTCAGATGACGCTGTTTTAATTGTCACCCTGAACCCCAAAAAAATTATAACCCTGTTACAATTTTTTTTTATACAATAAAAAGTACCTACTTACATACATTTTGTAGATACTTCTTGTTCCTTAAAAAAATTATATGCCTTTATTTTATATCATATACCTATATTTTTATGATAATAAAATAGCAAAAAGAGACATAAAATCTAACAATTTACATTCTTCCCCAAAACAGTGGATCTATCAGTGGTAAATCTTTTATAAAACACATATACAAAATGAAGTCTTCTTACAATAGCAGAGAGTTCAAATTAGAGTATGTTGGTACAATAAATACTTCAAGTCTATAATATAACGTTTAGCAAGTGTCATTGACCCCATTACGCCGCAATTTAATATATTTCTTGTTGTCCAGTTGTCGTAGGAGGCGAGATGGCGCCGAGGGCGTGAGGGCAGCGCCACCCCCCGATGGGCAAGACCTCTGGAGGACGGCCCGACACTGGAGTTCGATCGCAGAGGATTCATAGCAGAAGGTAATATAAACACACAGTGTCGCCTGGCCCATTGCGAGGCTCCGGACTTTGCGAGGCCATTTGTCCTGCGTGAAAAGTATGTAATTGTGTAGTGATTAATAATATCTCAGGACAATTCACACAGCGCCATCTAGTCCCATGCTAAGCAGAGCTTGTGTTGTGGGTACTAGTCAACTGATATAAAAACATGGATATATATTTTTTTGTAAATAAATACATATTATACATAAAAAACACCAGGCCGATACAAACAATCATACTCATGAATACAAATGTTTGTACTGTGCGAGGAATCGAACCCACGACCATCGGATAGTAAAGCGGTGTGCTAAACCACTAGACCACCGAGGCTGTCAAATGGAAAACTTGATGCAATTATTTTTCTTTATTATATTGTTAAACTTGTACAATACCGCGTGGCATATCTACCATCTTTAAATATCATCGCAAAACGTAATGCATGACAGATACACAATATTACACGGCGCGTATTCTGTGGCGGTAAGAGGACGATCGCGTCATAGCTGTATGCGCTGTTAAGAGTATTTACCACAGAGTATTAAAATTGTTTCATAGCGTTATTATTTTTACTGATCCTTTATCGGTATTAATTATTTAAATTTGCTAATTGATTTTCACATTTTTATTTCATTATTTCTTTCTTCGATTTGTTATTCCTTTTCAATGAGTTCCAGAATGGAGTAAAACCAATTAATAATTAAGAATAGGACAAAATCAGTATATCTGCAGAAGAAGTTTATTTTCCCGCTCAAAACGTAATGCGCCACAGATACACAATATTACACGGCGCGCGTCCGCAGTAAGATGACGTACTAGTCATAGCTGTATGCGATGTTAAGATTATTAACCACAGAGTATTAAAATTGTTTCATAGCGTTATTATTTTTACTGATCGTTTATCGGTTTTGATTATTTAGACTGCCTAACTGGTGTTCATATTTTTATTCATGGCTTTTGAATATTTTGTTTGATCATTCCAGTTCAGTTCAGTAAATATTTGATTAATCTTCACTATTGATTATTTATTCACGTCGCTATTCGTTTTCAATGTGTATGAATATCGGTGAATGTTTTCTTAAAGCAATTCGATCTTTGTTTGTTTAAACTATTATATTTTTCTGTATGCAAGAATATTTTTTTTTTATATTACTACAATAATATAATATTTCAGTACAATTCACACAGCGCCATCTAGTCCCAAACTAAGCAGAGCTTGTGTTATGGGTACTAGACAACTGATATAAATACATGGATACATTTTTTTTTGTAAATAAATACATATTATATATAGAAAACTACCAACCAGCACTAATTTATTAGGGTCAAATATACAATAAGGTTAAATCAGTCGTAGTGATAAGAGCAAACCAGTCCCTGCAAGCAGCACTCGTTCACGAGTATGACGGATGAATATTCATCACTGCGCTCGACCATATTTTAGGGAGCCCAATGATCGATAACATAGGATAATGAGGTCCAATGATCGAGAACAGTCATCAAGGTAACGTTAATGTGGACTCTCGACCCTATTGCTAGCAATGTACCATGTCAAGTTGACCTCCACGCGGTTCCCCCTGGAAACCATCGTGATAAATTCCAGATGAATTTATCACGATGGACTAACTGACCTGACCTCATTCTCATCTTATCTTCCTCCACTGGTGCCCCGTCAGCGTAAACCGTTAGCGCAGGCGGGTGCACTATTTCATTATCATATACAAAAAAAAGATACAGGTTACACTATTAATCAAGTGCAACCTGCCTACAGCCTACGGTAAAACTGCGACAGTTTTATTGGCGACTGACCTTACGTTGCAGGTTACTTGAATATTCATGTAAACAGTGATATATTCTAATTTGAAACTTTAACGAGCTATTGGCGTTTTACAATATCTTGTTTACTTTATACAGCGTTTTTAATTTTCGTTTCAATACTCCCTATTTTATATTACTTTATAAATATATAGAATGAGTATAATTATAGTATACACAGTGCCCGCGGTTACACGCGCAATAAATTTATAGCCTACGTGTTATTATGGTTTATTTCATTTATATATTACTGTAAAGTTTCATCAAAATATGATGAGTAGTTTTTGCGTGAAATAGTAACAAACATCCATTCATAATCACAAACTTTCGTGTTTGTAATATTAGCAACATTGAATAGAAATACATACAAATATCTTTATTATGCATCAACTGTAATGGAGTGTTGTTACAAAATATATGTTGCAAAGTACCTGTATGTCCTAATCCATACACCAGAGGTTCCCAAACTTTTTTGTGTCGTAGACCGTGATTAGAGCGACATCGTAGTCGTATAATAATTAAAAACAAGCAAAATTATATACAAAATAACAAAAGATTATGTTTGCCATTACAATAATCATTAAAATTATAACAGCGTTTATTAACTAACTAGTCATGAAAGCTTTTTTTGAAAACATTTAAGTGATCACTTACTCAATTATCACAAATATGTTATAAAAATATAATAAGTAAAAAAAAATATAGATATGTTGCGACGACATATACCTTACTTGAAAAGTAAAACATAATGCTTTCTAAGAATAAAAATAAAAAACTGACCAGATTTAGAAACAAATTTTTATTTTTTTTTATTCAGGGTTTTAGGCCATTTTCAGGTACACTGCTATCTGCATAAATCTATTGTGCTCGCCCTTTTTTAAAGTTTCTCGCCAGGGACAAGAATTTAAGGATATTCTTAGGAGCGATGGTTGAATATTAAACAATTAGTAACCTAAATTAATCTGTATTAATCTCTTAACTGAACTTTAGTTACGGTTCTTAATTTAATCTTAAACTATACTCGAGATCCATCTATCTGAATATCAAAAATAACTATTCTTTATTAGAGGTTGGGATCACTAATAAATGTGTGGATTAGTGCAGTGACAAGGGCGCCGTCTATTATAGTCCGGGTTCTAATCTTGGATTTGAACGTCGATAGTCGATCTTTATGGTCGGTACTATTTTTATACAAAGCTCATGTATTAGTTGTATAAAAATACAAACAAATAAAATTTAAGTGTCTGTTTGTAATTAAAACAGCTTTACACTAAATTAATAATAATAATAATATATGTACTTTACTGCATCAAATATGGTAGATAAAATGTCTTCTTAAACACAATATAGATCTAAATATCAAAATGTAGAATTACATATTTAGCCTAAACTATTTCTGGCTTTAATATGGCTAATCTCTGAAACGGCTAGACTGATTTTAACGGGAATTTCAATCGCAGATAGCCAATTTTATAAGGAGTAACATCATGATAATCATATTCATTACTTTATGGTATCATAGTTTTTGCTAGTATAAAGTAACGGGAGATAGTTTCTTACTTTTTAACTGTTAAATAATTGTATTTACCATCAACAATTGTTTGGAAAAGAAATACTATTTTTATATATATGTATATTTTAAATAAATAAATTTATTATTTATTGATATAACTTACTTAAAATTATACCTTTATTTTACTACTTTTTTAAGCATCTTAAAAATTTTCGGCCGGAAGGAAATAATTAACGAAAAAAATGCCTCTGTCTTGACCTCTATCACGTCACAAAGTACAATATTTTGTAATGTCCGTGATACTATTAAAGTTTATAAATGATGCTCACCGCTTACCATCAGGTGAGCTGTCGGTTTGTTTACCATTACAATTACATAAAAAAATATACAAGTGTTATATAAACATATTGATGTTAAATATATTGGTCATTTATTACTATGTAAAAAGAATAAACACAAACGTGGCGCTTCTCAGACTTGACCGAGTTCCAAATATACATCTGAATCACCAGTTATCACACCGTCAGACAAAGAGATCCTAAACAACAGTGCCAGTTGTTTGGCCATAATTCATTCGCTCTTTGACTGAAGAGAAGCGTTTGACTGTATTACCACATCATTATTTATTTAGCGTTCTCTTTCAAGTTATAATAATAAAAGTTTTATTAAATAAACAATAATGTACAGTGTAATATAATTCTTATTTTATTAAGTTGTAGTTCACATTGTATTCTAGTAATTTATGTGTTTTGATGTTTACCTAATTATAATGCGGGAGTTCCACAAGGTACTATTATGGGTTCCTAATTCAGTAAATCTACACAAATTATTATAAAATGAAAACTATTTGCGACTTCTTTTGCCTAATTTAATATTTTTTTACTATCCTGAGAGAACGATAAATCTATACATGCATACATATTTATTATTAAAATACCTGCTGTGTTTTATTTTTATTAGATGATAATTAAGCATTGCACTCATTTGTACCAACGGTGTATGCTGGCGCGGCACCAGTGAATTTTGATGAAATGTGTGTTAGCAAAACGTATAAAATTCGTCATAAATCAAATACTATAGTTTCCAGGGAGAACCATACAAAATTATAGTCAATAGGGTATATTCCTAGCAGTGGGGCAATAATTACCCTTGAACACAGCAAAAGCAAAGCTTGTGTTATGAGTACTAGACAACTGATATAAATTCTTAGATATATATTTTTTTGTAAATGCATACATAATATACATAGAAAACATTAAGAACAATACTGACAATCATACTCATGAATACAAATATTTGTACCGTGCGAGGAATCGAACCCGAAAGTAAAGCAGTGTGCAGTTTAGATCGCTAGACCACCAGACCATCGAGCTATTGGCTTGAGCATGCGTCAAGAATATATAATATATAATTTTTATACCCAAGCTACTTTATATCTACACAAGTAAATCCATACTAATATAATAAATGCAAATCTGTGTCTGTCTGTATGCTTGCCTACTTGTCTGTTTGTATGAGTGTCCAGTTGTTTGTTTTCTTTTATAAACGGCAGAACTGAGCTTACTAAAAATGATATGAACATAGATAGCACCATATATTACGGTCTATAAAAAACACAGATGAAGCAGCCGGCAATAGCTAGCTATCATATAAA